AGCCCTCCAAGTTCCAGCTTCTCTTCTTCCAAGGGCAAAAAGAACCACAGTACCTCCTCCCTGACTGTGACCACTCGCCACGGCCTCTCTCTGGGCTCGGTTCTGACCAGTGCCCACTAGTGAGCTGCCCTGCTAGCCTGCTGGCAGCCGGCTTGTTGAGATGATGGCTCCTGCCCTTATTTGGAATTGTTAACACATCAAAGAATGCCGTTTAAATAACAACAGCAACAAAAGTATTTTGTGATAAATAAGGATATACAAACACCAGTTATCATTTGATGAGGCTCACTGGCTGGATTTGGGTACATTAACCACTCTGCATGAGGACAGCTGCCATCAGTTAAATAAACAAAGCTGAGTGGTTGAGAACTGGAGCCTCCATCCAGATCCTGTGTACTGTTCGCCCCATGGCTTAATGAGTTGCACACACTCCTGTTGGCTGTTCTTTTACCCATAGGGAAGACTTTTTCCTATAAAACCAGCTCCTCTGCTGGCTCTCCCCCCATCCTGGGAATGCAGAGGCTCCCCTTCTTGTGAGCAAGATTCCATCATCAAGAGAAGAGACGTTAGGGACAGGATAAGGCAGCCACACCTACGCCGTGCCCTGTGGCTGTGCTTTCTCCAGCGTTGTAGTGTAGCTGGAGTTGGGGAGTGTGCCAGTCTCCTGCAGGCCCCATCCCAAAGGGGGTCTTTTTCCCATACCCCCACCTTCTCCCCTTCGATCCTCTCTTCCCAATTGTGCAGCTCCCTTCACTCCAGGCCCTGTTCTGCCTTCAGGGCTTCCTGAGACCTGCAGGGTCTTCCCAGCCTTGGAGGGGCTCTGTTACCCCACCAGAAGTATCCTCAGCCCTAGAGTCATTGATGTGTGAACAGGGGCCATGACTGGCCTTTTCCTAACTTTCCCAGTCACTCTCCAGGGTTGGGAAATGCCTGTGGCAAACAGCAGTGTTGCTTTAAATTACTGGAAGGAGAGAAATGAGCTGAAGATCATTTTGACTCAAAGCAGACAGCCTGAGCCACAAGGTGGGAAGGAAACACCCTGTGGCCACTTAGGCCTGGTTAGCCCGAGGGGTCAACCAGATGCCAGTGCATCCTACCTGCCCAGAATGCCCACACTCTGATGCTCATTGTTTTTCCTTTCAGAGATCTGAAACCTGAAAACATCCTGTTAGATGATTATGGTAAGTCTTTTCCTACTCGATAGCTGAGGTGAGCGTCGCAACCCAGAGAAAGCAAAGGGCCTCCCAGGGATTCTCAGAGAGAGCTGGGGAGACTGACCATAGGCCCCACTCCCACTGCTCAGTGCTGGGTACCTGGGGAAGAGAGAAAGCTGTGAGCATGGACAGAGCTCCTGCTTGGTGAACAGGCAGTGTTCAGAGAGACATAGAAATTCAGAGTTTTTTAAATTCCCTTTGATCATAAGGCTCTAAGTGTTAAAATAACTTCTGGCCAGGCGCAGTCTCTACAGCACACTGAGCAAGGAGTCTAGAATTTCAGAGACGCTGGGCAAATACTTAACTTCCACTAAGTTCTCCACCTTTCATCTTGTTTGTGAAATGGAAGCAAAGTGTCCTGCCCTGCCCTGCCCACCCAGAGGGAAGAGGGTTGTGGCGAGGCTGCTACACGACAGCTTGAGAGGGAGTTGCTCGTCAGTCTAGCCAGCTGTAAATGTCTTAGGCATTATGTTTGTGCATTACCATCATTATTTTCTCTTGGCTGTGGGCACTGAATAGCAAGAACAACCACAGTAACCCTCATAGCTGTGTAGCCTCACACCTGGAAAATAGTTCCTATACCTTTTTTTTTTGAGACAGAGTCTCACTCTGTTGCTCAGGCTGGAGTGCAATGGCATGACCTCGGCTCACTGCAACCTCTGCCTCCCAGGTTCAAGTGATTCTCTTGCCTCAGCCTCCCAAGTAGCTGGGATTACAGGCATGCGCCACCACACCTGGCTAGTTTTTGTATTATTATTGTTATTATTATTTTTTGAGATGTACTTTTACTCTTGTTGCCCAGGCTGGAGTGCAGTGGTGTGATCTCAACTCAGTGCAACCTCCACCTCCCGAGTTCAAGCTATTCTGCTGCCTCAGTCTCCCAAGTAGCTGAGATTACAGGCATGTGCCTCCATGCCTGGCTAATTTTTGTATTTTTAGTAGAAAGGGGGTTTTGCCATGTTGACCAGGCTGGTCTCAAACTCCTGACCTCAAGTGATCCACCCGCCTCAGCCTCCCTGAGTGCTGGGATTACAGACGTGAGCCACTGTGCTTGGGTGATTTCCACACCTTTGATCTGACTAGATCTTCCCACCTGCACAGAGAAGGTTAAGACAGCATCTCTATGCCCATTTTACAGATGACAAAACTGAGCCTCAGGGGAGCCATCCTGCCAGAGTCACCCAGCAGCATCAGTGGGGAGCCGAGGGCAGAAACTGGGTCTTTTGCCAGCAGGCCCCACACCCTGGCAGTCCCCAGTAGAGGGAGGGGAGAAACTAGGTCGCTGATGACCTGAAGAGAGGTCTGCATGGGATACTGCCCTGTGGAGGGGCGGTCGGAGGGCCCAGGACTGCCGCCGTCTCTGGAGGAGCCCAGTGCCTCCCTTGGTCTCAGGACAGAGCCCACCCTGCTCCTCTGCTGTCCTGACTGTCAGCCCCCGCCAAGCCAGGGAGCCCATGCAGCTACAGCCTGACGGGGTCTCGACACTGGCCCTTGCTGACATCTAGGCTGGAGGGGTGGGGATGGGGCCCTGCTGCCCATAGGCAGGGAAGGGAAGGGGACGTGCTCCTTCCTGCAGGGGTAAGTTGTGGCTGTGACCCTGCCCAGGTGGGCCGCGGGAGGGACAAAGACCGAAGTGGAGCTCAGCTCGGCGTCTCCCGCTCTCGGGTCAGTGCTGGGCTGTGAGCTCAGATTCATCTCCAGGCTCTGCCGGGTCAGACCAGACATTTTCCCTTCTAGTTTCTCTAAAGTGAAAAACAACCAACCTCCAGAGACCAGCAAGGCAGGCCTGGGAGCTGCTTCCCAAATTGTTTTATAATGTTTTCCCCTTAAGCAAATTGTTGCAGAATGCCAGCAAGACCTCACATTTTTCCCATGAAGTAATCCCAGAACCCAGCCAAGATCCTCTGTGACCTCAGCCGTCCAAGAGGCCCATTCAGCCTTTGACTAGGCAGGTCGGTCAACGTCCAGCCGGGTCCAGGCATCCTATTGCATCTTTATGTTCCACTCCTGAAGAGTGGGCATTTTCCTGTGTCCTCCCACACCTGCACTCTCCCAAGGGTCTTGTGGTCACCCTGAGATGGCAGATTGGGGTCCCTGTTGTCCTCGGACAGAGAGTGCCAAGAGCTCATGTGCCTTGCCCATGGGCACACAGCAAGGCCCGGCGCCCATGCGGCTGTCCTGGGAACCCACTGACCCTGCTGTCCCCCTCAGGTCACATTAGGATCTCAGACCTGGGCTTGGCTGTGAAGATCCCCGAGGGAGACCTGATCCGCGGCCGGGTGGGCACTGTTGGCTACATGGGTGAGTGCTGGGCTGCCTCTGTCAGCGCACCCTGATACCCACTGGGGCCGCCCCTGCTCACCGCCAGCCGAGCCCCCAGAGCCTGCCCGCAGAGCCTCTTGCCTCTTTGTGCACTGCTGATCACACGCAGAGCCACAGTCTCTGCGGGGCTGCTGGGGGGCGGCCTTAGCCAGGGGGAGGAGGAGCACAGTGTCCCCAGATGTGATGACTGCTCTGAGCTCTCTGCACTCCCAGGTCCCAGCCCCACCTGTGTCCAAAGCCAAGCCACTCTTAGGGGTCGGGGCCTTGCACATAGTGCTGCTAGGGGAGGCCACATTGAAGCAGAGGTCTAGGAGGAGAGACCCTTGAGAGGAAGGAGGTAATTCAGAAGAGCCCCCAAATGAGAGGCGCGCACAGCTGCGGCATCACGGAGCGTGATTCCAGTAGAGAGCAGCCTTCGGTTCCTGACGCCTTGCCTTAGTCTGCTCCGAGACCAGAGTCCTGGGGGTTGCAGGGAAGAGACCCAGAGTTAAGTCCTGTGCCCTAGAATCCCCCATCCAATTTGGAGCACGCCCTGGGCTTCCTCCTGTGCATTTCACACGCCTACCCTCCTTCCCCTGAGAGGCAGGGGCCCCAGAGAGCTCCGAGGACCAGGCACGCTGCCACCCTCTGGTCAGGCTGGTGCCAACAGCAGCTGCATGGGAGGTGTACCTTGTCTCTGGTGCTAGAGGGCCCTTTTCAGATTGCATGACATTTGGCAACCTGTGGGGTATGTGTCTGTGTGTAAGTGTGTGTGTGCCCACGTGAATGCTGATCGACAATCGATAGGGATGTAGGCGGGTGGATGGATGGATGGATGGATGGATGGATGGATGGATGGATGGGTGGATGGATGGATGGATGGATGGATGGGATAGATGATGAATGGGTGGATGACAGATCTGCCTACCTGTGTGTGCATTTGCCTGGGTCTCCTTTTGCAGAGTGCTCCATGCATCTGTCTGCCCAGGCTCTCGTGTGCAACCCAGCACGTGTGTGGATGCATTTCCCTCCAGACATACGTGCTGATGATGCTGAACTATCTTTTTTGTATTTCTATGGTGAATCTGTAATTCACTTTATCAAAGTGGTAGAGAAGACATAGCAAGAGATTGTTTGAATTACAGATAAATTTAAGATCATCTTTAATTTGAGTAGATACACCTTTATTCATTGAAACAAATATACCAATAGCACCTGTTCTGTGCCAGGTGTCGTACTTGTTACAGTAGTGAATAAAGTAGCTCATGTTCTAGGCAAGGGGACATCAAGAGTGCAGGACACCTCCATCCACAGTGGTCAGAGTTCTAAAGCTACAATCAGAGTCCTTCGGGGGCACAGAGGAGAGTCATCAGGGCAGGCTCCCTGGAGGAGGTGGTATTCACAGCAGTTGGTGGAGTAGGAGTTGGTGGCGGCCACTGTCCCAGCCATGAACCTCCAGGCCTTCAGTGAGCAGCGCCACCAGCTGTCTCCCCACTCTTCACTCCTCTCTCCTCTCCTCTGCCTCCAGCTCCAGAGGTCCTGAACAACCAGAGGTACGGCCTGAGCCCTGACTACTGGGGCCTGGGCTGCCTCATCTACGAGATGATCGAGGGCCAGTCGCCATTCCGCGGCCGCAAGGAGAAGGTGAAGCGGGAGGAGGTGGACCGCCGGGTCCTGGAGACCGAAGAGGTGTACTCCCGCAAGTTCTCCGAGGAGGCCGAGTCCATCTGCAAGATGGTGAGTTCCTGGTGGCCAGACGCCACCCTCCCTGGGCCTGGCCCCAGTCTGTCCCCGAAACAGCAAACGCTGGCTGAAGGGACAGGGATCTGAGCATGCTAGGGTGTGGTGGGGGGTGCAGCCCACCAAGCTAGAGCTGAGGGCACTCCTTGCTGCGGACTGGGGTGGTCAGCGGAGGCTTCCAGGAGAAAGTCTGGGTAGGGCAGGGACACCCAGGAAGCAAGGGAAGGGGGGTGAGGGGAACAGTGTGGAACACCCTCACATCCAGCCTGTGGGGGTCTGCACAGGGCGGGGAAGCGGTGGTCTGAGCTAGACACAAAGCAACCTTCAGTCAAGCCCCCGCCCCTGCCCTTGGGCCTCCTGCTCCCTCCACCTCTGGATCCCAAGGTGTTGGTTTAAGACGAAGAGCTGCAGGGCGTGGGGGTGATGATTGCAGTCTTCGAACATCTTATAACAAAGTTTTCCATCACTAGACGGACTGCTGGTCACGCCAGCCTGGCTCCTGCGTGGCAGGGTCTAGGGATAGTGAGGTCTGACCCACCCAAAGGCAGGGCATGGTGGGAGTGACGATTACACAAGCTGGGTGGGTGGGGCCAGATGTGGGGACTGGAAGCCAGATAAAGGAGTGACAGGAGCCACTGGAAGTGGGGGATATGGGAGTGGAGTCTGCCCGTGCCCGCCCTGCCCCTGGGCCCCCCGACGCCGGCCCTCAGGCCCTTTCCTGGAAACCAGGACTAGTGGCTTTTTGGGGAGATGGCTACTTCCTGCTCCTGCCTGGCTCTCAGCCCCCAAGTCCAGCCGTGCCCCCTTGGGGCCCTCCTCCTTATGGTCCCCAGCACAGCTGTGCTGGCAGCCCCACTGCAAGCAGCTGCCCTCTAATGCCAGCCTTACAGGGACAGGAAGGGCCAGAGCACCCAGCTCCACACTTGCCAGCCCACAGACTTCCTCTTCTTTCCCTGGAGCCCCAGGTACCTGGAGCCACAGATGGGCAGGCCGAGTCTGGGAGCGGGAACCACATTTCCCACCCCTCTACATCTTCAGCGACTTTGGGGGCAGGTTCAGCGTGTGCGTTGACAACCCAGGCAGCTCCCGCAGTTTAGGAAGCAGCAGGCCCGGGAGTTGATTAAAAGTTGCAATGCTTCTGCTCAGGAAGACCTGAGGCTGCGCTGCGAGCGGCCCCAGGAGGGTCTGGCTCGGCTCCTCACCCCAGAGGCCCCTCTCCTGCAGCCAAACACCTCTCCTCGGCCCCTTCCTGTCACCAACCTCATCCTCACCTCACAGAGCTGTGGAAAGAAGGCCTGTGTGTACAGCAGACCCACACCCTAACCCCACAGCTGTTGGCCTGCCGTGCAGCTGGGGCCTCAGAGAAAGCCACATGGTCATCGCAGCCAGGGCTAGGGTGGGGGAACCAGAGGAGCAGTGCAGCACTGGTCGAGTACATGGAAACGTGGGTGCGAGCCATGCTTGGCTGTCTCATTGGGAGATACCTGTCAGGTGCGACAAAACTAGACAAGGGAAAGATGGGGTCAGACAGCCGTGGACAGAGCATCACCAAATGTCCCAGGTCAGGGCCAGGCAATCAGAGAAGCAGGTCTTGAGAGATCTCAGCAGGGATATGGGACAAACTAAGAGGATGACGAGGTGGAGAGGGCCCCAGTCTCACCCCCGGACCCCAGTCACCCACCTTGGCCCCTGGCTTTGGAGCTGGGATCTCCTGCTGCACCCTGGACCAGGGCACTGCTGTCCCTCTGCTGCCCCCTGGTGGACACTGAGAGAAAGCCTGCTGCTCCCAGAGGACCTGTCCGGTGGGTACAAAACCACTGTCCTCTGGAAGCCTCTGGCCTTGCTGCAGCTTCCCTTACAAATGATCTTGGGTCTTGGGAGTCTGGTCTTAGGCCTCCTTCACGCCCTTGACTGCAGCATCTCTGGCATCCAGACCTACCGTGTCCCCTCCAGCTGGCGGCAGCTCAGGACACTGCAGAGCCTGACTTGCCAGGAGAGCTCACAGGCCCCGGGTTCACAGGGCTATTTCTAGGCTCTGGTGGCTCCAGTCCGGCCTACCTAAAAGGGCCTCTCCACAATCGGCGAGGAAGCTGGTCTCTGGCCCCCAGGTCTGTCCCCCATTCTACCTTAGCAGCCACAGAAGCCGCTCCCCCTTCTCTGGAGCCCAGAAATTCACACATCTCACCTCTTTGTCCCCTGAGCCCAGTCCATGGGCCCAGACCTCAGCCTCCATCTTCCCCAAGCCCCTGCTCAGTCCCAGCCCTGGGCCTTAGCCCCCGCTCCAGCTCCCTCTTGCCCTTCAGCCATCTTGGTCTCACTTGTCCTTCCAGCCCATCTGTTCTCCTCCTCCAGGAAGCCCACTCTGCCTGCCCCACCCATCCCAGCTCACACCTTCTCTTCCTCTTACTTCTCCTGGTGTCCACCTGATAGCATGGTTGCAAACTCCTTACCTGACGACATGGCTGCAAACCATTGACTGGATGCCAGGGTTTCAGACGGCAACATATAGGGGGGTGTTTGGTTCAACCTGCACAGGGTGTTTCAAAAGAAGTAAATGGTAGGTTCATTGCCAAGATTTTAAAATGTGGAGATTTCATATAATAACCTGGATTTTCTGGCTTCTCTTGAAAAGCAGAAGCCTCAGGCCCTGGCTGCCGTCCCACCTGGCAGGAGCTGACGCGTAGCCTGGCCCGGCTCTCCCAGCCCACCCCTTGCCTTTCTCGCCCTCGTTTGTGCCACCTTCCTGGCCAGCCACTGCAGCCTCTGTGGAAGGAGACTTGCCTCTGAGGGACTACTTAGAACAGTGCAGTGCCTGGGCCCAGCCCAGCCCAGCCCAGTGTTTGAGCCTTTGTTAAACAGTGAAGCCCCCAGAGAGAGAAGCAAAGGCATGAGCACCAGACCCTGAGCCGCCAGCCTGGTGGTCCGTGGGGGCATTAGAGGGCGATGCTGTGAGCGACTGAGCTCTCTGCTTAGTCCTTTCAAGGGTGGAACCTGGTGCTGGCCCTGGTGCCACCTTCGATTCCTTTGTTTGGGGGGCAGCCCCTCCAGACCCTGAGACCCAGGAGGCCAATGTGGCTACTCACTCTCCCGGCGTCCCCAGCCAGCGCAGCGCCTGCCCCACAGGAGCCGGCAGGAAGTGTACGTGGGATGAATATGAGCAAAGTGCACGGGGCACTGGGAAAAAACAAGGCTGCGCCCCTCCCCCCATGCAGGCTGCTCCGAATTTTAGCCACAACGCAGATATTTAGTAGACACCAACTGCATACAGGTGCAGCGCTCAGTAGGGCAGAAGAGAAGAGAGAATCATGAGGCTGGGGCGCTGGGAGTGCGGGTCAGGGGCCGGGGCCCTGTGGTCATGTGGCCGCTACGGCCAGTCGAGGACCCCTGCGCGGGTCCAGCCCTCTGGCCTCGTTCACAGCCACATCCCATCTCACCCGGGTGTCTGCTTCCAAAGCCTCTTCTTCTCCTGGTAACCTTCCTGCCTCTTGGTTCTGATGAAGACACTCCCCTACCTCAGCCATCCGTGGCTCCTTCTACCTCCAGATGAAAATCCTACCACCCGACCCGGCCTTCAGGATCCTCCATCATCTCCCCCGACCAGCCCCTCCCCCTGGCCGATCTCTGATCCTCCATCATCTCCCCCCACCAGCCCCTCCCCCTGACCCATCTCTGATCCTCCATCATCTCCCCCGACCAGCCCCTCCCGCTGGCCGACCTCTGCACCCTCCTCCTGCTAAGTCAAACGTGTTTTGGATATTCCCCAGACACACCCTGCACGCCCTGCCACTCTGCTTTGCTGGTGCAGTTCCCTCTACCTGTGTACCCCTCCCCACACCCACACCTTGAAAGCCTATTTGTCCTACAAGACTCAACTCAAATACCCCTTCCCCATGCAGCTCCCTGACCTCCAGCTGGCAGCCATCATGCCTCCTGGCCCCGGGGTGCCCGATCTGTATCACCTTGATGTGTCCTCTGAGCATGATTAGCCCCCCATGAGTCTGAGCACTCCTAGAGGCCAAGTCCCTCGGCGGTGTCTTCTCTGTCAGGAAGGGGCTTGCACTCAGGAGGTGCAAGTGTGCAAATGAGCCGAGTACGTGAACAAAAGAGAGCTATCGATGCAGTCCTTGCCTTTTGTTGCTTACCCTACACAGAAGAGGTGACATTGACTCGACACCCATTAATGAGTGCCCACCATAACCCAGGAACGAGGTCTGTAGTCCTAGGAGAAACACAAGATTCCTGCTCCCCTGGTCCATCAGGCATCTAGCCAGGCTGTGAAGGTGTGAGCACAGATGCATGCCAAGACTCAGAGGCAGCCCTGAAGCGAGACCTTTGCAGGGTGGGGCAGCATGTCTTGGGTGGCACAGACACTGTGGAGGCAGGAGGTTCAGGCAGGAGGAGAGGCCCAGTGGCTTCATGGGGCTCTCTCTGTTTCAGCTGCTCACCAAAGATGCAAAGCAGAGGCTGGGCTGCCAGGAGGAGGGGGCTGCAGAGGTCAAGAGACACCCCTTCTTCAGGAACATGAACTTCAAGCGCTTAGAAGCCGGGATGTTGGATCCTCCCTTCGTTCCAGACGTGAGTAGCACCCCCCAGCCCCCAGCAGCTCCCTTTGCAGGGTACCCAGGGCTGCCCCCCAATGCTGCTTCACAGTGAGCTGGTGCAGAGTGTGGGGCACATCGTGTCTTTGTGGGGGCCAAAGAGTCCCCTCCCAGCCACTCCTTGCCTCAGCTGCAGATGAACTTCACGCCAGGCAGTGCAGAAGAGGCATGGGCCAGGGAGCCCACGCTGGCTTCCAAAGACTTGGGCACTTTCCCGGGTCTGGGAGTCCTGGACAGATTCCTTCTAAGCATTAGTTTCCTCCCTGACCAGTGAAGCCAGTAACACTCACGCCTCCCACCTGCCTGGGAGATTTGAGGGTGAAATGAGAACTGAATGGGGAATGCTTCCAAGAGCATTGAGGGCCACCACGTTCAGTTCAGCTTGACCAGCGTGCATGCATTGAGCACCTACTGCAGACGCCAGGTTCTGGGCCAGGCAGGAACAAAAGAGGCCCCTCCCCCAGCAGCTTACATTGTAGGGAGTCATGTCTTCCCAGGAGGTCCCCAGGGCCACCAGTCGGTGTGTGAGGCAAGATTCCTGCTGAGGTAGAATTGTCCTTGAAAGTCCCCTGCATGGTCAATAAATCGTGAGCTCTCAGCTGGATCAGAGGCCCAAGAGAGGCAGACCAGGCAGAGGCTGGGTGATCTGTGTGGGATACCAGCTGTGAATTCGGGGCCTGCTCTGTGTGAAGTCAGGGAGTCAGAAGCCAGGAAGGCCTGTGTCTCAGCTCCTGCCACGCTCTCACAGGTGACCCCTTGCCGGCGGTGGGGGCTGGGCCAGGGCTGTGGAGGCCGTGGGAGCAGTGGTGTGCTGCAGGCAAATTACCGCGTCTCCGGAGAGCTCATATGCACATCTCTTCCCAATTCCGTGTCCAGTGGCTTTGCGTGGGCAGCTTACAGTAGATCCCAGTGGTAGCATCTGCACAGCAGCAATTTGCAAATGGTACAAATCAGGGCCTCTGCATCCCCCTCCCCCAGAACCAGTGGTTATCACTTACCAGTACCGCCCAGAGTGGAGACAGGTGGGGACCGTCCTTGGAACTCTGGCACCCCCTGTAGGTGGGGTTCCCCCTGGTCCTGTGGGACAGCAGCGGGCCTGGGAAGCTGCTGGGTGCAGATCAGTATCCGTGGCAACCATACCACAGCCCCTGTCCGGCCAGGGATGGCATCAGTGTGATGGGTAATCAGGGAATGCTTTTTGGAGAAACACGGGGGCCACTGAGAATGTAAAGAGTAGGGCAAGGCACGGTGGCTCATGCCTGTAATCCCAGCACTTGGGAAGGTTGAGGCAGTCGGATCACCTGAGGTTAGGAGTTCGAGACCAGCCTGACCAACATGGTGAAACCCCATCTCTACTAAAATACGAAAATTAACCGGGTATGGTGGCATGCACATATAATCCCAGCTACTCGGGAGGCTGAGGCAGGAGAATCGCTTGAACCCAGGAGGCAGAGGTTGTAGTGAGCTGAGATTGCACCACTGCACTCCAGCCTGGGCGATAGAGCGAGACTCCATCTCAAAAAAAAAAAAAAAAAAAAGTGAAAGTCACTGAATGCGGCAAACTCAATCTCCAGATGAGCTTGAGCAGGCAGGGGGAGAATGGTAATCACAGCATTGCTCTCGACCCTGGCTGCCTGGGGAACCGCGGGGGAGCATGAGCAAAACTCGCCTTGGACCCAGCCCCCAGGGAGGCTGGGGTGACTTCGGCTTCGGGAGTTTTGAAACCTCCCCAGCTGATCTGAGCATGCAGCCGGGGTTGAGAGTCACTATTGTGAGAAGCGCCACGTGCAGGGAGTGTGTCGTTTATTTGTTGTTTGTTTTCGGTGTTGAGGGCTTTGGGAGTGGCCACTCCTTGGTATTCCAGGAAACCACATAGCATGACTGCATGAACATCACGGTTGTGCCACTGGGCTGATGTCCGAAATGGGAGAGGATGTGGGCGCCCAGATTGGGGGTGTGGCAAAGTTTGGAACCCGGGTGGCCATCCTTGTGGCCTCTGGGCTACCTGTTGCTATGGTGATGGGCTGAGATGAGTCATGGCATTGGAACTATTTCTCTACCTTCCAGCACACTCCAGGTCCCATGCCAGGCCCCAAGGGAGATCCCATGGCGCACAAAACGGTTGGTTGTTTCCTTCATGGAACTTCCAGTCTGAAGACGAGGAGGGTTGTCAGCAAAACCCCTTAAATACAAGTAGAAATATGAGTCACAAGAGAAGAGAACAGGCAGCCTTAAGGAAGATTGGAGAGTAGTGGGGCCTCCGTGCGTGCACCCAGGCACGGCTGGAGAAGAGTGCTCTGGGCCCCAGAAGCAGCGTATGGAAGGAGGCGGCCCTGAGGATCAGGGCGACTGACTGTCCTGCTTTGCCTGGGACTGTCCTGCTTTTAGCACTGAAAGTCCTGTGTCCTCGGGACACAGGGACAGTTGGTCACCCTGGGAGTGACGCTGGCCATCTCGAATCAGGGCATTAGGAGGATGAGGTAGCAGAGCCCCGCAAGACGCACAGAGCAGCCCGCCAGTGCCCTCCTCCCCCCACCGTGTACCCTGTGGCCCAGGGCCCCTATTCCTGGCATCTGAGGCCTCAGGTGAGCAAAGGCTGCAGGCCCTGGAGTGCGAAGTCGCTGTCAGCTGGGGCCTTTGCCTTTTCCCCTCTGGCCCTCCCCAGGCTGCACGCCAGCCCCCCACGGTCGTCCCCGCCAGCCCCCGATGGTCGTCCCCGCCAGCCCCCGACGGTCGTCCCCGCCAGCCCCCCACAGTCGTCCCCGCCAGCCTCCACAGTTGTCCCCACACCACTGTCAGGGCTGCTGCCACGTTCCTAAACCACAAGCGCTGTTAGTGACATCATCTTTTTCACTTCCGTTGACACTTTTTAAAAATAAAAAACGTATTTTAAAAGGAAACCTTTCCAAGGAAAGAATAGCCATGAAAGAGGGGTTTGGGTGTGCCAGATAACTTCCTGTTCCATTACAGATTTTTAAAATACACTCATTTCTTAACATTCCTCTGCAAGCCACCCAAGGCCAGTTTCGTGAGCTTGACCTGGGCACCCCCTAGGGCACCCTGGGCCCCACACCTGGCTCAGTGCCCTCTGTTGCCATCTTAAAATTCTAAATGTGGAACATGGGCCCTGCGTTTTCATTCTGCGCTGGCCACGTGAATGATGTGGTCTTGCTTCCAGCTAAAAGTCCGCTGAGTTCCACGGTGGCGTGCACCCCGGGCTTTGGGCACTAGAGAAGGGTCGCAGCTCTGCACCCGGACACCCATGCCCCCACCTCTGCTTCCGCCCACATGCACTTGGGCCCATGGTTTGCTCTGCTAGGGACAGCATGGCCTCGAGCCTTGAGCTGGAGACCAGAGCAGACCGGAGGGGAGAGTCCCAGAAAGTGCCGAGCTCTGAGACCATTGCTAGAACCTTCCTGGCATGGCGGAGCCCTCACTGAGCCGGTGCACTGATTCAGAACCTTCGAATTTGCCAAATGTCAGGAGACTGTGAGCAGGAGGTAGCCTCTACCCTCCAGCGACAGACGTGTCACCAGGTCTGGGGATCCCTTGGCACCGCACCTGGGGCCGTCTGTGTAAAGGCCTCATCTCCAGAGCCTCTGGGAAGCCTCCCCGCACCAACCTTGAACTCTTAGAGGGCAAGGTCCACCCAGGTTCATCTCTGCCCTGGCATAGATCAGGCCCCCAGTGCACAGTGGAGGGATGAGTAAGGTAAAAGATATGCCCTGGTACAATAATAATACCAGCTCCCAGCTACGGGCGCCAGGCTCGGTGGCCAGCACTGACAGCAGCCCCAGCGAGGTACCTTGTTGCCTCCATTTTGCCGGTAAGGAAATAGGACACAGGCCTCAGGGGATATGAGACTTCCCCACAGTTCATAAGCCCCACTGCTGGGCCTCCAGCCCACGTCTGTCCTGTACTGGTAAGGGAGTGATGGCAAAAGGAGCCCTGGACTGGGCGCCCAGGTGCCCCGAGCTCTTGTGTCACCCCAGCCAGAGTCCCCTTCATGGATCTGAGAGAGGGCCGCACTCCCACCTGGAGGGGTCGCGCAAAACAAAACCACAGGCCGTCATCCGAGGTGGACAGGAAGCCCAGCCAAGCCACTGGGGCCAACCCCTGCCCTGGAGTCACCTGCCCCTGAGCCACACGCCCTCCAGCCACCACCCGCAGCAGTTCTGGGGGTGGGTCCTGGGAAGACTCCCCTCTGCTCCCCCGTTAAAACTCCAAGGCCTGGGCTTGGGGCCACTGGAGCCGCAGGCAGGACACATGTGTGACCAGCCCTGTGCCCCTGGCAGCCCCGCGCTGTGTACTGTAAGGACGTGCTGGACATCGAGCAGTTCTCCACTGTGAAGGGCGTCAATCTGGACCACACAGATGACGACTTCTACTCCAAGTTCTCCACGGGTTCTGTGTCCATCCCATGGCAAAACGAGGTGAGCAGGGCAGGCCACTTGCTTGGCGCTGGTTGGGAGGGAGGGACTGACGGGGGGAAGGAGGCGTCAGGAATATGAGTTTGGCGGCAGGAGGATGAGCGCGTGGTTTCTGTTTTCTCCATGAAGGCAGCACATGAAAGCTGTCAGTGGCCAGGCAGGGAGCTGTGGCCACCACGGGCCAGTCATTGAGGGGGAGCCTCGCCCAGCCCCCGAGACCTGGAAGGGTTGTGGCTCAGGGGCAGGTGAGGCCAGGGGAGGGGTCAGCCCCAGTGGCTCTGCTGCTGGGCTTCCTGACCACCCCAGGTGACGGCCTGTGTCTTTTTCTCACGGCCCCTCCAGATGATAGAAACAGAATGCTTTAAGGAGCTGAACGTGTTTGGACCTGATGGTACCCTCTCGCCAGATCTGAACAGAAATCACCCTCCGGAACCGCCAAAGAAAGGGCTGCTCCAGAGAATCTTCAAGCGTCAGGTGAGACACCTGTGCCTGGCGAGTCCTGGCATCAGCCCCAAGACCCCTGGCTCGCTTCCATGGGAAACCAGCAGACCCCCAGGAGAGACCCTCGGAGGACTCGGGAGTCTGGGGCAGTAGCAGCCTGGAAGGGTAACTGATATGTCTGAGGCCCCCAACACCCACTGCAGCTGATGGGATCCCCACGGCAGAAGGGCAGAGCCAGCCCAAATTCACCCTCCCTGTGGGTTTCTCCTTCTTGACACTATTGGCACCTGGGGCCAGCTAATTCCTTGTCACGGGGCTGTCGTGTGCATCACAAGATTTGAGACGGCAAGCTTGGCCGCCACCCACCAGATGCAGCAACACCCCATTCCCCAGTCTTGACAGCCTGTAAAAGCGCCAGACACTGCTGAATGTCCTTGGGGGCACAGTCACCCCTGGTGGAGAACCGCTGCCCTCTCTGGTCCCTATGAAGCCTCAGTCATGTAAAGACTGAACATCATAAGCTCAGGGAGAACTGGGGGTAGAAGCTGACCCTGCAGAACCTTCTGGCTCCTGGGATGGCCCCCATCCACTGCTCTGCCCTCTAGCTGGCAGCCAGAGGAGACAGGGCTCTTGGGAAATGACAGTCAGAGTCTGGCCCTGGGTAAGGGCTAATGTGAGCCAGTGGAGGAAATGCCGGGGAAGGGCCCCCACCTCACGCCACACCATGAAGGGGGCCACCATACACCCCGTCCTGGGCTGGCCCTGGAGGAAGCTGTGGCCCAGTGTGCCCATCCTGGAGCCTGGGAGGTTCCCCCACCTAGTTCTGCTCCTTCCTCCTCCCGCCAAAGAGCCAGCTCCAGGATAGACACACTAGGCCAGTGATAATATAAAAATACAACACTTCAGTGCTTCCATCAAGTAAAATGGAAGTTCCAGAAAGAATGACCTCTCCCTCCCCTCATGGCCGGGCGCGCTAAGAACACCTTGGGTCCTGGAAAGAGAAATTACCATGTGGTCTCACAGACCCGGGTTCAAACCCAGCCCTGACACTTCTTGGTTATGTGGAAACTTATGGAACCTCTCCTGCCTCAGTTTGCCTGCCTGAAACATCAGGATAGAAATGCCTGCTGCCTAGAGCCATGGGTGGCGGCCCTTAGCACGGCGCGGGCACCAGCACCTGTGAAGCAAACGTTCCTTGCCTCCCTCCTCCTCCCCTCTGCAACATGGAGGGCCCAGCACACACGGGATGCAGAGGGAGGGCCCGAGGAATGGGAACGACCGCCCATCTTTCCCAGGTGGGTCCTCGTAGAGCTGTTTGCATACGAGGCCCCATTGTATCCTCCCAGCCACCCTTGGCGGAAGCTGCTCTTCTCGCCTGTTACAGGAGAGGAAACTGGGAGATGGAATTGCATGCCCAAGGCCACTCTGCAAGGGAGGGGCAGACTGAGAATTCCAGCCCAGGCAGTGTAACCCTGGGCCTGCAGGCGTAACCAAGGTGGATATTATGGGGGGGCCACCTCCACCCTGATTGGAGGTTCTGTTAATTCCTTGGCTCTTCCCATTTACCAGATAAAGCCCTGTGCCTCCAGGGGCGGCCCTTGCACCTGGCTCTGAGGGGAGACTTCCAAAGGCCATGAAAAGCAAGGGTTAGAGCTGATGGAGGCAGCCCCTGACCCATCGCCAGGGCTCCCAGGACTGACTGCTGTTCTCTCCATCCCGTCTCCCCCAACCCCAACCCCAGCATCAGAACAATTCCAAGAGTTCGCCCAGCTCCAAGACCAATTTTAACCACCACATAAACTCAAACCACGTCAGCTCGAACTCCACCGGAAGCAGCTAGTTTCGGCTCTGGAAGTCCACAGTGGAACCCGCAGACCTTCTCCTTAGAAGCGGAAGTACTGGAGCTTCTGCTCTGGTGGGGCTGCCAGGGGAGCCCCCCAGGAGCCGGAGAAGGAGGCCGTCCATCCCGTCGACGTAGAACCTCGAGGTTTCTCAAAGAAATTTCCACTCAGGTCTGTTTTCCGAGGCGGCCCCGGCCGGGGTGGATTGGATTTGTCTTTGGTGAACATTGCAATAGAAATCCAATTGGATACGACAACTTGCACGTATTTTAATAGCGTCATAACTAGAACTGAATTTTGTCTTTATGATTTTTAAAGAAAAGTTTTGTAAATTTCTCTACTGTCTCAGTTTACATTTTGTATATTTGTATTTAAAGAAAGTGAGATTGAGGGTGTATATTTTCTGTGCAGCCACTGTTAACCCATGTGTTCCAAGGCATTTTAGCGGGGAGGGGTTTACAAAAAAAAAAAAAAAAAAAGAAACAAATTCCAGAGCCTCAAATGAGAAAATGTCTTTATTAAATGTAGAAAGTGATTCACACTTCACCTTTAAAGGATTGCTTGTATTTACCCACATCTATCCCTGGAGCCGTTTCCTCACACTGGTATCACCCTTCTGTCGGCTTGGAATGATCTGAATTAAATGTTCCAGACACATGTGGGACTTCTCCCTCCCAGCCAGAATGTCCTCTCCTGGGGCCCTCGGAGTCGTCTGGGCTGAGCCCTTCTCCTCGAGGGGCACGCCGAGCCAGTGTTGCACCCACCTCTGTCTGTTCTTCCTCCAGGAAGCGGCTGGTGCGCAGATCCAGATATTTACAGCCTGGGGGGCGATGGGCCTCTTTCCTCCTAAGCGGGTCCTGACTGCTAAAGCCAGTTGTTTTCAAGAGGCTTGCATTGGGGGATTTTTGTTCTATTTTTAACAGAAGTATAGGATCATAAAGATTCGTCAGGAAACCCCAAGTGTCCCAAAGCCTCGGGGCCCGTGGGAGCATCGGGAGGTGAGTCCACGCGCTCATCCTAACGGAGCACCGCTGAGTCTGTAGCGGGGAGGGAGGCTGGCCCAGGGACCCGGCGTGTCCCTGAAGCGTTCACAGGGTTTCGAGACCTTCACAGCCCCACCGATGTGCTGGCCCCTGTGGCACGGATGGGGCAGTCTCTCCGGGCAAACAAGAGGCCCAAGGAGAGACCGGGCCACCAGAGAGCTCAAGACAAAGTCACCCAGGAAGGTGGGGCAGAGGCAAGATCTATCGGACACTTCAAAGTTTCAGGCGGGAGCTCCCAGAGGACTTGGTGGCTTTGTCAGCCCAGGGGACTCTGAAGGCAGCCCCCAGACCCTTGTAGCAGGGCTGTCCATCCCCAGGGAGCAGCTGGCCACCTCCTACTGCCTCCGTGAAGTGACCAGAGGCCAGTCTGCTCCCACCTCCCGTCCAGGGCAGGGTGAACATTTGATCTCACTGTCCCCTGCCTGGCTGAGTCCCTGGTATCTGACTCTGCCACCCAGCAGCTGCCAGGGTCTCTCACCATGTGGACCCTGCCCTAGCTGCACCTGCACCTCCTGTCAAAGTGCGGACTCACAGGCTTCACCCCAAACCACAGAATGGGAATGCCTGGGAGTGGGGCCTAGGAACCTGCATCGTGTAAAAGCTCATCAGATCACTCTGATGACCCTGGAGTGTGAGCACCCCTGCAGTGTGAGCACCTCTGCAGTGTGAGCACCCCTGCAGTGTGAGCACCCCTGCTGTGGCCGTCAGCGGGGCTTTGGGGGTGATTGTCCCAAACACATTTCTCTGGGTGACGCAGGCAGCATTGGAGCATGAGTCGTGGGGAGGACAGTCGTGAGCACACCAGCCATGAGGCCTGGTTTCCATGCCTTCCCCCCGGACTCTACCCCTGGGTCCTGGGGCGTGCCTCTGAAAGAGTCCTGGCCTTTGGGACTGATCATTTTGAGGTCCTTTTACAAAGAAATGGGGGAGAAGAATTAGCTAATTCTTCTTTTTAATGTGCAGTATTTTTTTTGTTCAAGACCAGCTCTTGTTTTATGAGGCTCCTTCCATTACCTTTCTTGGGCTGAATACAAAACAAATACAGCCATATTCAAGTTTTCCAAGGAAGTGAAAAGCTCTTTGAATGGTATCTTAAGATCCTTAAGCTCTTGCTGAACTTCCTTTATCAATGAAAAGAAGGACTGTTGTCCTAGGACGGTCACCAGCCCAAGCCACCACCCCAGCCACCCATCCAGGAGGTTGGTTCCTTTTGCCCAGTACATAGCAGCTCAGTCCTTACCAAATGGATTCTTGGTGTTGGAAAGCGGCCTCTTTTTATTCCTGAAAACCAGTGCCCTGCTCGTTTGCAGTAGAGAATCCCCAAGGAGCAAGAAAGATGACAGAAGTGTGGCTGCCATGTTTCTAGGTCACGAGAGCTCTGGTGGTACTATCACAAGGCCTGTGCATAGGTTCTATGATAACTTCAGTCTTCCATCATGTTCACCACCAGCCCTCCCTGAGTGCCCAGAGGAGATGGGGGCAGAGTCACTTGGCCTGTTAAAGCCTCCTGTTCCTTCTGGCTCATGCATTGCTTTGTGGCAAGAGAAAGGAAGTCTTTAGACCAGTGCCTTCTCCCTACTGAGTCCCCAGTCCTGTCCCTTCCCCTCCTCCAACCTTGTTTTCTATAGCCACATTTTTTTTTTTTTTTTTTTTTTTTTTTTTTGAGACAAGATCTCATTGTGTTGCCTAGGCTGAAGTGCAGTGGCATGATCCTGGCTCACTGCAGCCTTGAACTCCTGGGCCCAAGCTGTCCTCCTGCCTCAGCCTCCCAGGTAGCGGGGACCATAGGCGTGCACCACCATACTCAGCTAATTTTTTAAATTTTTTTGTAGAGACGGGGGTCTTACCATGTTGCCCAGACTGGCCTCGAACTCCTGGACCCAAGCTATCCTCCTGCCTCAACCTCC